GGGCTGCCGACATTCGCCTCTCTAATTGGGGCTTTTCCTCAATATTAAGTAGCCTAACGTTACACACAGTTCAGTCCTGCATCCTCTTCTTGTAAGTTCAGACTTTGCAAGTTTGATCAAGGCTGCAGTCTCCCCCTGCTCAGTTTGATATGGAAAACAGAGTACCGAGGACACGGGTAAATCTTCAAAGGGAACAGTGTACTTTATAACCTTATTCACATCACCCTGGCTACGTTGTTTCACTTTCTCAACAATAAAATGTAAACTTGATTTAAGGAACTGCCTATTTTCATTTTAATATTAGCAACTAAACAGACAGCAGAAATGTTGAGGCGTCATGCTCATATATGAGCGTCATCTTCACTGTGTGGATATTTATAACAAAACAGAGCCTATTCACCTTATTTTCAGCTGTCGAGTGGGCGCTGCCATTTGAATCTTTTTGTCTCGCGACTTCCGGTCACATTCACTTCCATTAATTTTTTGACGTTAACAACTGCTCGTTACGCTGCTTGATGTTGCAATTTTATATTTTCTTATTATATTATGCTACTTGGTCTGTGTAGTCATGCAAACATTTGTTTGTTGAGCAAGTAGTTTGGCCATTTTCTGCCGTTTATTATTCCTAGTCTTTTCCCCCATAGGTGACTAAATCGGAAGTTCTAAGACAATCGCGAAAACAGGCGCACTTCCGCATTTTAGAATAAGGTCAATAACATCACTCCCTCTTTTCAATTTCAGTGAAAATACGAAACATACCCTCTCTTTTGCTGAATATCAGTTTAAATAATCGATAATGGCCATTATAAAAAGTACATACAATAATTTTATACATTATAGGAAATAAAGGCAAGCGATCAGTCAATATACAGAATGTAGGCTACGTGGTTACATTAATCATTAACTTATCTTTGCGCTCAGCCAAAACAAGTTAACTGAGAACAAGTAATAGATTCCAATGACCAAAGTCAGGGAATATGCTGTTAGATAAAGACAACAAGATGAATGAAATATCACGTTTAATAAATATAGTGAGATTAGATCCAGTGGGAGATGCTTGATGGAGTCCGACTAGCACAGCTCTCATCTGGGTAGATAGGCTGCAGCGCTGGCCCGAGAGTGTGTGTGTGGTCACGTGATGTGCGTTTTCAGTGTTTTGGTGTAGATGAAGAGCTGTTCAGAAACGCTGGGTGAAATGCTAGTCTGGACGCGGATCGTTTTCATTCTAAAACGCCGTTTTAAAACTAAAACGCACTGGTGTAAACACGGGGTTGAGTTCATTACTATTTAGACAGATCGTCTATATCTGTGCTGCTGTGTTCCCCTATAGAATTACTAGCCCCCCTGAATTATTAGCCCCCCTGTTTATATTTTCCCCCAATTTCTGTTTGATGGAGAGAAGATTTTTTCAACACGTTTCTAAACATAATAGTTTTAATAACTCATCTCTAATAACTGATTTATTTTGTCTTTGTCATGAGGACAGTACATAATATTTTACAAAATAAAAAAAAAAAATTTCAAGACACTTCTATACAGCTTAAAGTGACATTTAAAGGCTTAACTAGGTTAACTGGGCCAGTTAAAATTTCTGGGTGGAGTTTGCATGTTCTCCCCGTGTTGGTGTGGGTTTCCTCCAGCTGCTCTGATTTCCCCTATAGTCAAAAACACATGCGATATAGCTTATTGCATAAGCAAAATTGGCCGTAATGTATGAGTATGTGTGTGAATGCGAGAGTATAGGGTGTTTCCCAGAACTGGGTTGCAGCTGGAAGGGCATCTGCTGTGTAAAATTTATACAGGAATAGTTTGCATTTCATTCCGCTGTAGCGACCCCTGATGAATAAAGGGACTAAGCCTTAAAAAAAATGATTGAATGAAGTGAAAGAGACCCAAAATTCACCCCAAAACAAAAATTGTCACTATTTACTCAATCACGAGTGTTTCCAAACCGTTCTTAGATTCTCTTTTCTGTTGAACATAACATAAGATATAAGGTAGCCATTGATATCCATATATCCATTGATATCCAACACCAAAAACCAGCACTAAAAATCAAACAGAATTGGAAAACATGGAGCTAGAGTAAATGATGAAAGAACATTCATTTTCGTGTGAACTGTGCCTTTAAATTGAATGCAAATGAGACCTGTTGCCTCAGCAACCAGCTGAAATAAATAAACTCTAACAACCATGATAGCCTATAAAAGCACATTCACATGCCGATCTGCACACCATGTGTTTGACAATTCATTCCTAAAAAGAGGTTAATCACATCCTCCATTGTTTTCATTAAAACAGCCTCCATGTTTTGTACGGATGTGTTTAATTCATGTGTTTTGATCCAGTTTATTTATCACAGGTCTCAGAACAGCTGACCATAAAAGCAGACGTACCGTGTAACAGCACAGCAGATGACAGTATAAATCAGCTGTAAATCGCACAGGCTGGCCTGTTTATGACACTGACGTCATGTACCAGCGGCTAATGAGCGCGTGGCTTAAGGCTAAAGGGTAATGATGTCCTGCTGGCAGGGGTGTGGATGTCTGCTGTTGTGCTGATGACCAAATTATGGAGAAATGGGGCAGAAACACAACTAAACACTGACAGACAGACATCATATGATGAGGACAGATGAATATGATGGTGGGGAGAAAGTAAGTAGATTTATTGAGTGAAGGAAAATAAATCTATTCTGAAGAACACTAGATGCATTGGCGTTTGATAAACTGATTTAAGGGGATAGTTCACCTAAAAAAAATTCTGCCATCATTCATTCATACGTTCATTTTCTTTTCGGCTTAGTCCATTTATTAAATTGAATTCACCACAGCAGAATGAACCGCCAACTTATCAAGCATAAGTTTTACACAACGGATGCCTTTCCAACTGCAACCCAACACTGGGAATTCACACTCGTACACTACGGCCAATTTAGCTTATTCACTTCCCCTATAGCACAAGTGTTTGGACTGTGGGGGAAACCGGAGCACCCGGAGGAAACCCATGCCAACACGGGGAGAACATGCTAACTCCACACAGGAATGCCAACTGACCCAGCCAAATCAGCAACCTTCTTGCTGTGAGGCGATCGTGCTACCCACTCCACCATCGTGACGCCCCTGTCATCAATTAATAAAATATTTATTAGTTTCTTTCTTCTGTTGAATACAACAGAAGATATTTTGAAAAATGTTACAAACCTGTAATAATTGACTTCAATATTTGTTTTTCCCACTACAGAAGGTTTCCAGCATTCAGTTTATATATATATATATATATTTATTTATACAACAGTTCTGTCTGGTTCTCAAATCTGATTGGCTGATAGCTGTGGTATATTTAAGTAATATCAGCACCCGTACAGCCTCTTTACCCTTTGTGTATTACTCCTCCCTCATACAGCCAGCAAAGAGCAGACTCGGCCTACAGTCTCGTGCCAACGCACGCCTTCCATCAGTGCCAATATCCAGCCATATTGCACTGCTACTCTTGTGATATTACTCATATATAAATATCTTATATATACATACATATATATATATATATATATATATATATACACATTCATATATATGTATAGTTGTCCAATCACTTGTCTAATTAATCTAGTTAAGCCTTTTAATGCCACTTTAAGCTGAATACCAGTATCTTGCGAAATAACTAGTGAACTTTTATTTACTGTCATCATGACAAATATAAAATAAATCAGTTATTAGACATGAATTATTAAAGCTATTATGTTTATATTTTACAAAAATATACAGGGGGGCTAATAATTCTGACCTCAACTGTGTATTTATATATATATATATATATATATATATATATATATATATATATATATATATATATATATAGCTGAACGCATATATTAGCATCTCGTTTATTAGTTTTGTGAATAGGCTCTATGCACAGCTAGAGTTTTATAGCCAATAGCCCCTTTCACACATACAGACCTTTCCGGAAAATTGCCGGAATGCTGCGCTGTGTGAATGCAGAAGGAAGATTGCCGTAATAAGCGCGTGCACATCTAGAACGTGCTGACGTGAGACGTCTGCTTTAGCCAATCACAACAGTCAGACGCATTCACGTTCGCGCGGTTTGTGAGAATAAAAACCTTTGAATATTTTTCCAGACACATTTAGCTGCTAGAAGTTAGTCAGATCACGTTTATATGTTCTTCTTAATGTCAACTGTGTAAATAATCATCGATGAGATGCTTATGATAAGCCATTGTTTGTTTACCTTCAAGCTATGCGTGTGCCTGTGAAACAGACTGTGAGCGCCTGCACACGCACATATTATGAACATCTCGACATGCGAAAGTGATCCTGCGAAAGTTGTTCACAATATTGATCATCCACTGAGTTTGTAATTTAGTCAAATGTTTACAAACACAAGCGCAGCCGTTTAAAGCTCATTTGTGGTGAATGATGTCAGAATTTACCGGTATTTTGGAATGGATGTGTGAATGCTCTTTTCCGTAAAATTTCTGTAACGTCCTCGCCTGTGTGAACAGCGCTTTTTTGAATATACCGGTAAAGTCGTTCCGGAAATTTTCCGGAGATTTACCGGTATCACTCTGTGAAAGGGGCTAGTGATAAACTTCCGGTGAATGCTTGATGTGACTATTTTCACATCGGTGTTGTAATGTAATTACAATACAGTCAGTTAAATCGACTTAAGAATTCATTTAGTTGTTCAATCGTCATCAGTAGCAACAGAAATCCCATTGAAAACACTGGGGTAAAATAAACTGTCATATTTTAAAGACATGGCGGGGATGGGGAATGTAATTTAATGCAGAGCTTCTTGTCTGGTCTGAGACCCACTTCATATCGTATATCTGCCAGGCAGTGAAGATCGCTGACTTTTAAAGAAATCAAATCTTAAACATGGCAATTTTGTAATGGAAAGACAGTTCATCGTAAGCCCTTGGGCTGCCTGGCTGAAAATTAAAAGTCTGTGTGCATATAGTCCATTGTGGATGTGCTCACCCGGTGGAGGGCGTCATGATGCAGCCGCCGCGGTCCACAGTGGCTCTGCAGCCGCAGCCGCGCTCTGGCGTGTCATGATTCATGCCGAAATTGTGTCCGAGCTCATGGGCTAAAGTGACCGCAGCGCCGAGAGGGTTATCAGAGTGATCCTAAACACACACAAACACAACACAGAGATAAGCTTATTTAAAATACATTAATCTCACAATGGACCCTTTTCACAAGAGTGTCATGACGCGTTTAAGTGTCATCAATATCTTAAATGCTTAAAAGTATTTAATATTTTGACGGACAGTAAATCTGACATTATTCTCTCCTCAAGCTGTCGTTATCAGTCTCACAATATTTTCCTTATTCTGAAAGTCTTGTCGACACCATCATGGACTTTTTCTTTTATTGTTTCAGCAAATCAGATTGTAATTGATTTGTTGTACTCTCACATTCACTGAGCTCTGAGTTTACCAACTATGAGAACTTCTGCTGCTGCCTTTTCACACAATCACAACTTTACATCTCATAGTTTTTTCTTTTTTTCCTTCAGGATTTTGAGTTGGCGTCTGGCGATTTTGCCTTTTTCTTAGAATTCGGAGTTCACATATTTAAATTCTGTACTTTTATTTTGAAATTTCCATCATGATTTTGCCTTTATTCCCTCAGAATACTGAGCTTTTATTCTACAATTTTGCATCGTCTTCTTTAAAAAACTCTAACATGTCAAATACATTTTGAATTTTATTTAAATATTTATTTATGGATTTATTTATTTATTTATGTTTAATTGCTTAATTGTTTCTCGGTTTTTATTTATTTATTTATTTCAGAATTCTGAGATAACACGTCACTATTTTGACTTTTCATTTAAAATTCATAATTTACAGACTTTAAATCTTGCAATAAAATTTAAAATGAACTCTTTAAATAAAGCTTCATTAAATTTAATTTAATTTAATTAAATAAAAAAAATTATCTTTTAACAATAAAACAATACATTTTATGCAAAACATATTTAAAACATTTTGGGCTCTATTTTAATGATCTAGACCAGGGGTTCCCAAACTTTTCAGGCCGCGACCACCAAAATGACAATGCCAGTGACTCGCGACCCCCAATATCCTCTGAGGTGGATATAAATACAGAAACCTTGCATGCAATGGCGCAGACACACCAAAGGACCCTAATTTTTTTAATGTATGAGAGCTGTAAATGGGCCACAAAGTTTAACCAGGTGTTATGAAATCTGCTGCATGTGACGCTATTGCTGTGTCTTTAATACAATGTAATTACCCCAGGGGTTGCAATCTAATAGAAGTAGTAACTATAAGCTACTATAGTAACTTTATATGGTATAAACGAGTAGATCCACCTTCAGTAGGTAATGGATAAAATATGGTAATTCTTTTGGTTTAAAAAAAATAAATAGATTTTTGGAAACCACCAGGCGACCCCCCCTTCATTGTCCCGCGACCCCTCGGGGGGTCCCGACCCCCACTTTGAGAACCACTGATCTAGACCAAGGTGTAAAGCACATGACCCAAAAGCATTAACGGCGGGTTCGAATTCACTTTTGCTAATTTGAAGACAGAAAAATACGGTTAGTGCTGCGGCGCATGGCCTAACAGGGTTGTCATAGCCAGCCCTCCCTATAAGCGAACTAAGGGGCTGCTTAGTGCCCCGCCGCCACAAGGGGGCCCCAAAACCCACTAGTGGTGCGAGCAGTTACCATGCTGAAATTGTTTTATTTGCATTTTACAAATGACCTTATTTGGCAGTGCTTCAGTACTTAAATATTTAAAAATTTTCACTGAAAAGAAAAAAACAAAATCACGATTTTATTAAAGTTGCAATTGTTTTCATGTGAAGGTCATGTGGTGATGCATTTATGCCATTCTACCTTTTCTTCTTACAACTGCAAGTTCTTCTCTCTCAGTTCTAAACTTTTATCTTACAAAATAAAAGTCACGATTCATAGAAATAAACTTGGAATTAAAAGTAAAAGAAATTACAATTGATTAGATAAAGTCAGTTACTCTTTTTATTTATTTATTTTATTCCACTGCAAAAACAAGCATCAATATTGAAATCATCAGTCAAGCGCGCACACGCACACACACACACACACACACACACACACACACACGCACACACACACACACACACAAACACACACATATATATATATATATACACACAAATATCCCCATGCTTGATGATTTCACATAAACAATCAATTTCAATTTAAAACAAACAGGAGCAATTTTTCCCCCCCTCCGGGACCCCAGAGAGCCGAAAGGCGTTATTCGTTCTGATCCACCTTCCCTCTCCAGACTAGATTTATCCCCTCATCTCTCCTCCTGCCTGCTTGTTTTTCTCTGAGAAACGGTTTCACATGAGATCAGTAATGAGCAGACACTAACGGCTTTTATAATTACTTTTCCACAAATCCGTCAGAGCAGCAGAACTCAGGATCTGTAATTGCTCCAGCGCTGCCAGAACTCGACCAAACTGTCCTGCAGGCTTTGTTTTGGGAAGTGTGTGTGTGTGTCTGTGTGTGTTTGTGGATGAGGCAGGACTGACACAATTACACTCGTTCCTGTAAGTCGCTTTGGTAAGTCGCTCTGCCAAACATGTGAAAATCAAATTAAAATGAAGGAAAAACGCCAGCTTTGGTTCAGTTTGCAACATTTGAGTGATCGTTTGGGTCAGGATTGAAACTTTTAATTGTTTGGATGTTACTTTTTCAGAGTTTAAGATTACAAGCTAACTAAAACTGCAATTAAAAATGTGGGTAAAACTACAGTTTAAGTAAAAATTCAAATAAATAACTACTGGTTTACCACCTGCCTATTATTATTATATTAAGGGTTTATTAGCATTTATAAAGTAAGATCTTATTTTACATGCCTAATCAACATACCTAAACCCAACGATTACCTTAATAAATATTAATAAGTATTTAATTAGCAGTTTATTAAGCTAAAAGTATTAGTTAATGGTTTGCTAATAGCGTGAATTGTGCAATAAGATAAAGTGCGATCAAAATGTGGCTTCACCTTAGAATTGAGTGCATTAACTCTTCAGAATATAAATCAGGAATGCATTAAAGAGCAGGTCACATGGTATCCTGCTATAAAATATTATTTTGTCATTTTAACTAAGCATGTTTTGCCGGATCATTTTTAGAAATTTTAGTTTATTGGCCCTCAAATAAGTTGAAGTTTGAATTAACCTATATATGAGCAATATCACACGAGTAGCAGTGCGATATGGCTGTATATTGGCACTGGTAGGAGGCGTGCATTGACAGAGGCCGTAGGCCTTCCTACTTTGGAAGTCAAAGGTTACAGGTTTTCAGCATTTTTTCATGTAGGGTTTGATAGCATTTCTTCAAAAAAGTGTTATTCTCTTTTAGGCGATTGGCAAATTAATTTAGGGTGCTTTCACACTAGCACTTTTAGTCCACACCCGGGTTCAGTTGACGTCATAGTACGGTACGTTTCGCTAGTGTAAACGTGTCTTCTGAACTCGGGTGCGCACCCGTGAACCGTACCTGAGTCTGCCTAAAAAAGAGGCGGTCTAGGGTACGGTTCATGCGAACTCTGGTACGGTTCACTTCTGATGTGAATGCAATCGTACCAAATAACGGAAGTGAACCGCCAACTGTACAACAAACTATCGTTTCCATAACATTCATTTGTGTGTGTGTGTGTGTAACGTTTCATACCTTATGGCTTGTTTCCACTGAGTGGTACAGTACGGTACGGTTCGGGTCAGTACGGGTCACCTTTATCATGCTTGCGTTTCCACTACCAAGGGTACCCTTTAGGTGGGCTTGGTGTATAACAAAGTTTTAGTCTACGTCATTTTCGCTCAAGAAAATGTCTACAGTAATGCTGCACAGGTCGCTCACATATCATATGAAAAGCACTTCTCACAAAACAGACGCTTTACACACATAAATACTTGTGTATAAATGTTTATTACTAACTTTTCTATAACTTTTCTATAAACATGAGTTGATTATAACTGCAGATCAATGACGGTGCGAAATAGCCTACTGTAACGTCTGTATTATATAAAATAAATAAATAAATGAACATATATGAACACATACAGACCCTTACAGTCTCCGATATGTTACCAACTACAGAAGAACTACACAAAGCAGACATTTCGTCCTTAATTAGGTTCAAAACAACACAAAGTATAGCCCACAGTCAGTGAAAACCTCTCATCTGTGTCTGTAATCTTCAGCAGCACATGAAGCCTCTGATAGAGAGTCATTCCATCATTCCCAGTTCATATTAGTCCAAAAGGTGATAATAAAGATTAAAACAAGGCAGTTTGTTCACGTTTGCTGAAGAAATAACGTGCTCATTGGCTTCGCCTTTTTTCCTGTTTTCCACTCTCGCGTTTGTCCTTTTCTTTCTGAATGTGTCACTCGCGTTTGTCAGCTTCTCACAAGATCGGGTTTCCAAAGCTTGTCAATAATTGGTATTATTGACATGTTATTATTATCAGGTCAAGAAGTTTGTTATTTCAGATAGAGACGCACGGCGAGCGCAAGAAAGAAAGCGAAACTACTCAGGCTTCAGACTGGCTCGTTAAATCTGCTCTTCTCCATGATTTTGTGGCTGTTTATCAAGACGACGACATGGTTTGTTTGCAGGATCGACCATGGGTGCATATGTATATATAATTCCGCTGTAATCTCTCGCTGTGTATTTCAAACATGGCGGGTCCTTTGTTTACATTCTGGCTTGTTGAGTCTACGAATGACGTATCTCTGTAAACCAATAGTGTTCAGCTGCGCAGCTCCACCTTTTGGGACCCTTTCTGCAGTTTGGGACCCTTTCGAAAGCGTCCCGAAAAAGTGGTACAGTACGGTTTGGTTCAGTACGCCTTTTGACAGTGGAAACGGCCATAAAAGCGTACCAAACCAAACCGTACCGTACCACTCAGTGGAAACGGGCCATTAGTGACACACGCGGGACTGAGCCAGGGCAAACACAGTGGTACACAGACAGTGAGGTCTGCTTGTCTCCTCCAAAAACAGCTTCTGCAGACACTGTGTGATGTTCTGAATGTTTATAATATGTTTGCGGCAGATGGACGCGAGTCGCTTTCTGTATGTCCGAAACCAAAAGCTCCAGCTAAAGCAGAATGACCGCGCTGTGTGGACGTCTTTCCATTTTGGTGCTTGCTTTCCAGTCACCTAGCAGCGGCCGTAAACAAAACAGCAGCTCGATGACGCAAGCATACCGGGTTTCAGAAGGAAAAAAGACAGTGTGAACACAAACCAACCGAGGAGGTGGCAAGGGGGGACAATCAAACTTGGGTACAGTCCAGGCAATTGAACCAAATGTGAAAGCACCCTAAATCTTCACCTAATATTTATTAATTTTTTTATTTGGAATGGTTGACAGGTGTCACTCACCATGACGATGCCTCCTGACTGCTCGGCGGTGCACATGCTCATGATGGGAGCCATGCCAATGGTGGTGCCCTGGAAGTAAACACCACTGTGGAGGCAAAATAAAACTTGATGCATTTATCACCGAGTGCGTTAACGTGCATATCCATAACCTGATTATTATTCAAAAGCTGACAATCTATGCAGCCATATTATAATATAAACATATTTATGCCTTATTTATTTTTTGCCTTATTTATCAGAGTGAGGTTATAAAAATGGACATAAGGATATTTCTATGTGCTCTTTCTGTGTATTGCAGTAGTAAAGCAGTATGTATATGAATGTGTGTTTATCCAGCAGACCTGATGAGCTGAGCGTTATCATGGGCTCTCAGCGGCAGCAGCTTGAGTTTCCTCCAGTCCAGAAACTCGTGCAGTGATGTGAACGGATCTTGTGTTATAGAGCATTTGTCTCCGTCACTCCACACCTCCAGTCCAACCAGAGCCACGCGGATATTCAGAGACCTGTAGAACTGAGATCAGCAAAACAATATGTACAGCAATGAAGGAATAGTTTACCCAAAAATGAAAAGTCCTCATTCATTCATTCATTCATTTTATTTTCGGCTTAGTCCCTTTATTAATCTGGGGTCACCACTGCGGACTGAGCTGTCAGACTCTGTTCCTCTGTCCTGTGGTGTGCCTCAAGGTTCTGTCCTAGGCCCTCTTCTTTTTAATTTATTTATGCTCCCCCTCAGCAAGATTATTAGTAGTTTTAAAGATATATGTTATCATTGAGATGATGTACAATCATATTTTTCTTTTGGCCCTGACAGGCTAGACAAACTGTCTGTAGCGGCGTTCCATTGCCGCTATTGTTAGTAGAGCAAGCAAGTTTTTAACGCGTAAAAGTCAGAGTCCGTAGGCAAATGGATGCAAATAAAAACGTCTTTATTTTCCAATCAACTTCCAATCAACAGAATTACTTAAGCACTTTCCTTAATCTATATGCACACTTCTCTGTTACCTTGATTTACGTTAAGCTCAGTTACAAGACGAGACGGTCAAAAACTGTAGCTGCGTCCCAAATCGCATACTATTCTACGCCATTTTGTAGTATAAATAGTGTAAGTAGTGTGTTCACACTGAAAACTCAAAAAATATTAAGTGCACTTTAGTTACCCGGATGATGCACTCATTCAGCCGCTAAAATGAAGTGTGTAATGATGGACACTTCACGCACTCAACGACCGCAGGTTTGCTTACGTGGCGGAAGAGGCGGAGCTATCGGACGCACATGTTGAATAACTTTATTTATTTTGGATGGTGAAAGCAAAATTCTCCTATGAGAGTGATTATAGCGCCTCCCGATAGTGAATGCAGTTATACTCACGGCAGGTATTATTTGATAATTCGGTCGTTTATTTCATTTATTTGGCACCCTTCAAACGTCATCAGGAAAACGGTTTGAATTTCCGCTTAGTAAAAAAAAAACATTAGTGTGCCATTTGGGACAACACTACATACATATACTATCCTGTTGAGTGTGTAAGTGCATGAGTGCATAGTGTATAGTGTGCCATTTTGGACGCAGCTTGTGTGCTTCGTACCAACACTGTCTTCCTCCATGCAGTGAAGCCACAGTTATATAGTCTCCTACTGACACCTTGTGGCCAATAGCCAAAATACAATATATGGCTCCTACACTGTCTCTCTTGCAGTACTGTTTAGTCTCCATTAACAAATGGATGGCGGACAATTTTCTGCAACTGAACCCTGATAAAACAGAAATGTTAATTTTGGCTCCAGATAGCATCACCCCAATGATCAAGCAAATTTTTGGGGGTTTGTCATCTTCAAATTGCTGTGATATTAGAAATCCGGGTGTCATCTTTGATCGAGCTCTGTGTTTTAAAAGCCATGTTAGGTCTATTGTTTGTACATGCTTTTTTCATCTGAGGAATATTGCAAAAATCAGAGACATTGTGTCAAAGGAAGAGATGGAGATGCTTGTCCATGCCTTCATCTCTTCTCGATGGGATTATAGTAATGTTCTGTTCACTTGTCTGAACAAGTCTTCTATGGATCGATTGCAAGTTGTGCAGAATGCAGCGGCGAGGCTTTTAACCAACACCAGAAGGAGGTCACTCATTACTCCTGTGCTTAAGGCACTTCACTTGCTTCCCATTAGTTTTAGAGTACATTTTAAGATTCTGGTCATTACCAACACAATCTCACAGCAATTCGTAACTTTTTGATTAAGTGGCTAATTCGTATGAATTCATACAATTTAGTACGACTTACTCATACCCCAATGACGGTTGGGTTTAGGGGTGGGGTTAGGTGCCACGGCTCCTTTTTAAAATCGTACAATTTCATAGACTGAACTCATACGAATTAGCCACTAAACTGGCAAAACGTAAAATACTTATGTTTTCTTGTGAGATCTGGCAAAGACGTTTTAGCCACAGCCATTCCCAAAACTCGTCTTAAGACTGTTGCGTTCACACCAGATGCGGAACGCACGGGTAAATCGCGATATTTGAGCATAAATAGACGCATGAACATTTGAGTTTACTCAATTTATCCGCGCGTCAAAATCCACTTCATTCAAATGTCACATCCGCTTCATTCGGTGCTGTCAAACAAATCATCGCGTTCAAAAAAGTGTGCAGTTTGCATGTTCTCCCTGCATTCGCATGGGTTTCCTACGGGTGTTCTGGTTTCTCCCACAGGTCCAAAGACATGCGGTACAGGTGAATTGGGTAAGCTAAAAAATTGTCCGCAGTCTATGTGTGTGAATGAGAGTGTATGGGTGTTTCCCAGTGATGGGTTGCAGCTGGAAGGGCATCCGCTGCTTAAAACATATACTGGATAAGTTGGCGGTTCATTCCACTGTGGAGACCCCAGATTAATCAAGGGACTAAGCCAAAAAAAAAATGAATGAATGAATAAACAGTTATAAACAACGTAACCATAAAGATTTGGATGTTCTCATAGGGATTCTTATGCAATCACTTCCTGCCCTCCATCTGAAATTTGTGCGTCATCAATGAAAGCTAATGGTTACAGGTTTTCAACATTTTTCAAAATATCTTCCTTTGTGTTCAAGAGATGAAAAAAAAAACATCTCATAAAGGTTTGGAACCACTTGAAGGAGAGAAAATATTGAGTAAATACATTTTTTGGGTGAACTACCCCTTTAGGGCGTCCCAGTGGCGCAGTGGGTAGCACAATCGCCTCACAGCAAGAAGGTCGAGCCTCGGCTGGGTCAGTTGGCATTTACTCACAATCAAGTGGTTTAGAAGAACTATGAATAATTATAATTATGAATTTATTTCTTCTGTTGAAATTGGGGAACACATATACAGGAGGGCTAATAATTCTGACTTCAACTGTATATAAACCTTAAATGCACTTTAAAAGCAAAACATTTCAGAAAAATTGCTTCATACAATGATGTTTTCTGTCTTTATTAATAATTCATTCTTCCATTAATCATTATGACAGGCTTTCCGAGTTTACCTTGTCCACATAGTTTGCAATTTCCGCAAGCCTCTGTTTCACTTTCTCCACATCTTTCCCCTGTTTCTGATACTGAAATGCAAAAGAGGACAAAAGAGTCTTTAAACTGCAGCCAAATGAGCCGCTGGTTGGCCGGCAGCGGTAAATGTGACATGAGCTCATTCATTTTCCACAGATGAAGAGCCAAACATGAGCTCCAGACTGTCAGACGGTGAATGGAGAACGCACAAAAAAATTCTGAAAATAAAAGCGCAGGCTGGAAATGTTTCGTCCGTGACTGCTGTAGGTCCAGTGACAATAAAGCTTTGATAGCTGTAAAACTGGCCAGACTAGAAGAAATGAAGTATTTCTACCGTATGTTTCTTTAGCACCATCTTGCCTGTTTCAGTAAACTAAATGATCAGGGGCCTCCTGTACGAAGACTTGCGTTGAAATCATTCTAAAACATTGTGTAAGCACAAAGCAGTAAATGTGCGTACGCAGTGAAAAATTCAGGGTCCCACTTTATAATAAGTGTCCTTAACTAATATGTATTTACACAGGAATTAATAGTTTGTTACAATGTACTTATTGTGTAAATACATGTATTTACTTTGTACTTATGCTTGATTAAATACATGTATGTAATTACATCTGTAGTTAACTTCTGTAATTACATTTGTAAATACACTGTTGACCATCCCTCACACCTCAACCCACCCTTAAACCTACCCATTTCACCAAACCTGTTCATAACCCAACCTCTATCCCAACTCAAAAGCACCACAAGTGTTCTCAAATACATTATAAACACAGTAAGTACATTGTATTTATTTTTTATTTATTTTTTGAGGTAAGTACATAGTGGTTAAGGACACTTAATATAAAGTGGGACCAAATTCAGATGTATGAAACACTGCGTACGCGGGATCCCATGCATATTCTCTGTGTACTGAACTAACATGAAACTGAGCGCAAGTGCATGAGCACAAAACCCCTCCCTGCCTCCTCCCCCTAATAAATATGCTAATGACTCTCCTTTGGCAAAACCAAACGAAAAAGCAATGGCAAAAGCAAGCAGGAAGAGAAACTTTGAACAGAATGTGAATTGGAGGTGCTCCTATCGAAGGTAGACCAGAGAAAAACTGTGTTATTTGCAAGTTTGTCCTCTGGAATTAATAACAAAAGAAAAAAAAAATAGAGTGGGAGAGTTTAGCTGACGTGGTTAACGCAGTGGGGTCTGAACATCGCACTGAGTGAATTTTAAAAAAAATGGTCCGATGTAAAGGTGTAAAATTTCGTAGTGTAGTGCAAATAGCACACCTCGTTGGAATGAGCTAGTTGTGTGAATCTCGCCCATCACCGTTTGATTGGCAGAAACAACATAACTAAAGAGAGCAGCAAACAGCAACATGAGTGGCGCAGCTCGTAAAGCGCAAGGCAAGATGTTTTGACACGTTCGATCATGTACTCGGCTCGAATCCAGCGTCTGATGAACTCATTCTTCTTTCCCTCACAAACAAAACATCAGATTTTGCCTACTCTTCATCACGAGGAAGACAAGTAGGAATCATTAATAAGTGTGTGTATCATGTTAAGCACATTTAAGCATCACATATTATTTGCACATTTATTGAATGAAAATGTTTCCGATTCACGTATGCAAATTCATCTTCGGGTGGCGCCTTTATAGCAGTGTGCGTGCAGTCGATCGCTCCGATTACATTGGGAAAACTAGTGATCGCCTTAAATTGAGCTTTAATGTTTGGCTTGTCGACTGCATGGTATGGAAACCTTATATGCCTGCTAGACATGCGGATGATCCCGTCCCATACAGCTGCCATTGCGCGGCTCAAAGATACTTTGTAGTGTGCAATTTGACATATGTGTCAAAGGAGTCTATATATCTAGGAGTCGCCAATGGAAATAAAACAAACAACACACAAGAAATGACATGAAGTTGGAGTGGAACAACGCACATTCTCACGTCCATTTCATCGTTAGTAATTCCAAACGTGAGCGTGAAATCTGGCGTACACAAAGTTTTTGTGAGTACGCAGCGTTGATACATGAGGCCCCTTGTTTTGTTTGTTTTTCCTTATAGACATACACTGTAAAAAATATCTGTTAATAGTTTCTCAGTGCTTTCTGCAACCCAGGCTCATTCTAATTACGTACCCCTGTATACATTTCTGGAGAGCGCCAATTGCGTCCCAGGAGCTACATTTATTTATTTTTTTTGCAGTTTTTGTGAATCCACCAGAGGCCGCTGTGTACACTATTTGAGATCTCAAATTTCTCCAGCAGGCTCGAATGGCACTCGTGGTTCTCATGTAAATCCACTAGAGGCCACTGTTGACTGACTGACTCACTGACTGATGGACTGACCCACCCTCTTCCATCCCTAAAACCAACCGTGTTTATAAAAGCATCGATTGACCAGCGCTCACCCACTATCCTAAACCCAACCAAAGTTTTTTCAAAAGCAATTCAGAAAAGAAAATAGCCCTCACGGCAGCCTGATTTTTACATTTTAGGATTTTACCACATTCTCACCCTGTTATTTACTTTATTGTTTTTTAATTGTATTGTTTATTGTTTTGGCTTTAGTTTTATCTGCTTTCTGGAATCGTCCTTCACTGGACTCAAACACCCTGTCATTAGGCCCACGCATTTTGGGGGACCTCAGAGATATCATTAGGCGCCCACGACTGACAAAAACCACTCCCACTCTTCACTTTCATCTCTGAACCCCCGCCCCTTCCTCTTCACTTACGTTCGCGACCATAAGCCCCCTCCAGCACCCAACCCTCGCTCTTCTCATTTGTCCACGCACATCCCACCCCCCACACTTACATCTACTCCTCACTTTCGTCTGTGACACCCAAGCCAAACCCCCCTCTCTTCACTTTCGTCCGTGACACCCAAGCCAAACCCCCCACTTCGCTTTCGTTCACGAAAAGCACCCCCCTCCCCCTTCAGTGAAAGGTTGTTGGAGGGCCCGTAGCGGCCCCTGTATGTGGCGAGCTACTGAACAAACTGTTAACAGTGGGAAAGCCGTCCATAAGGACGCTGTCAGCTGGTAGCACGAAAAGGAATGAGATCATACCACCCCGCTCGCATTTGTTTTAAAGATGAAATGCAGCCATGCGCACTTCTGACTATATAATTCATGTCCTCCGGAAATGTATATAGCACTACGTTTTCAGAATGAGCCTATGTTGAATTTCTGTTTTGCTGTAAATTGCATATTGGGATGTTGATAATTTCTCTGTCCACTTTTGATGATGAAAATTCCCCTCTACAGTTTAACAAAGCCCCTTTTATTGAGATTTAAATAGTTTGAAATAATATAATACTTCAGAAATAAAATAAAGATCAATAAGTCTGAAAAACAACAGAACATTTTACAGGTGTAGTATGTGAAGTCCTCTTAAAGATAGCTGTAAAGGTGTTTGTTAATTACCTCTCGGTTGTCTGCCACAATGATCAGCTCCACGTGCTTGGTGCTGCTCTGAGCATCTCTTTTATGCTGCGGGATCAGAAAGACAGACAATGATAAAAAGAGAATGATCTTCTTTTTACTGTTTTTTTTTTGTTGTTGTCGTTTTATATGGTAATATTATTTTATATTATTATATTTATGAAGTTATTGTGAAGCATGCTATACTAGAGCTAAAGATCTTTGCCGGGACCCAACGGGTTTGGGCTTAATTTCTATCATTTTAGAAGGGGTGCGCGGTAAATGAACATGTGATGTACGTAGCCTAATCTTGGTGAGTAAAGGATTTTTTAATTATAACTAAATATTAATTACACCATAAAGGCATAATGTAGACTGAGTATACAGGCTAATATTGAAATTATTCTTTTACTATTCAGCTTCACCAAAAGTTTCAAATCATCAAATCATCACAGAGCCTTTATCTTAATTTCGTTGTTGTCAAATAACTTAATTTAGAATTTATTTTAATTTAATTTGTTAAGGAAGACTTGTTTGTATTGGTGTGTTGGCCAATTTAAAGGCTAAGTGTATGTACATAGGCTTTTTTTAGATTGCTGAGAGATGTTAGGATGTTACAGACGACTTATTTTATTTCTTTGTTCCAACTTCCAGTGGCCTACAGTCTACGTTTGTTATGAATAAATTATGTTAAAATTACGGTGGCCGGGAAGTGCAAAACAACATTACAAAGTGTGAAACACTTTTGCAAAGCTCGAGACAAATTTACATTTTGAAAAACATTTTTACGACTCAATTACATAGGAAAAACAATTTCACCAAGGACAAAACAAATTTACATTTTAGAAAAAAATAACAAGACGCAAAACACTTTTACAAATCCCGAAACAAATTTACAATTACAGATTCCCTACGGAAAGGGAAAATAATTATGGTTATTATACAATTACAGTACTAAATAATCCCACTCAAATGTCTGTAATAAGCATCGAAAATGTTTTTGAAAGTCTATTGTGCTCACCAAGGACGATTTTTTGATAATAAATACCTTCTACGTGATAAGTTATCAAGTGTTCACTCTAATAACTTTTTTTTTTATTTCTTCCCAGTATGTAATGTTTTTTTGAATAAAACAATACATTAAATAAGCCAAAACAAAGTACGTTTTAATCTGAAAATGCATCTGCTATATCTGTATTACAGTATATTTGCTATATAATATTTGTTTACTTGTTTATTTTTTGTTAACAAATTTAAAGAGATCAGTAATGTTGAGAAATCAGCAAGAAGTCATCAAGCGTGCAGACAAAAGAATGGCTGTTGGTCGTTCTTTGGCTTTTTAACAATTGTGACACCGCCTGCTTTACAAGGACCCATTAAATATTACAAGGCCCTGTTAAATTTGCATGTAAATTAAATGTATATAGCTTTCAAAGCTCACATAAAACCCCAAACCAACACCGGACTGTGAAAGAATTGTGTTACGATTCATGAAAACGTATGCTTGAAGGGAGGGGAAACCATTTAACTTGCTTAGACTCATATACTGGTTCTCTCTGATGTTTTGAAGTTCTTCTTTTATCTTCATTTGCTAGCCACTTTAGATAAATGTATCTGCTAAATAGATAAATGTAATTAAAAAATAGTGAATTTCTAATTTTATAAAGTCAATTTAGGATCAGCCAGTTAAACTATCTGAGTTCATGAAGGTGTCTGTGGTCTTCATCATGCATTCAGCAATGCTCCTCTCGCTCTCAATGTAAATGCTCTTGTATTGTTTCCAGCGATAGTTTTTCTGTGAATAGGAATAAAAGGCTAGACTTATCAATATCAGGTTTGAATGTAGAGAGCGATCAGGGTCATATCATCTGATGGGTGCTTCAACCTGCTGCTGATTTAAAGGAGAAAGCAGATCAGAGTCTAACTGAATGAAATGAGATGATAGTGCTGTGCCATCTTTTGAGCTGAGAAAACCTACAGGCTACACAGTATGTGCATGTGTATGTGTGTGTAAGTTTTTCTTATCACATATAGGGATATAAATCTGTATATTGACATTTGACACAGCTATTACAAGGTGGTGAAATATGAGGAAAATAGGAGGATAGGGCGAGGTAAGGGGAACACAAGATACAGTTTGTATGGAAACCTATGGCTATGTAATGTCCCCATAATTCACAAAAACAAACGTGTGTGTGTGTGTGTGTTTGTTATGACTTAGGTTTAGGTGTAGTGAAGGAGAATATACAGTCTGTACAGTATAAACATTATTACATATTTGGGAAGTCTCCATAAGGATAGTTGTACAACTGTTTGTCTGTGTGCAGGTTGATGTGGTTTACAGGGACAAAGTTAACAACGTTGTGACATGGGTATGATAGTAGTACTCTATTAAGGCAGTTTACAGAGACATATATACAGTACTAAATATTTTACATCTATGGAGTTTCCCTGTAAACTATGTATACAAGTCTGTGTGTGTGTACATCTTTATGTGGTTTACAGGGACACAAAGTTGTACAGTATAAATCATGGATATGATGACTTAGTAGTTCTCTATTAACGTGGCTTACAGAGACACATATTAAAGGGCCATGAAACCCCCTCGTTTCAGCAGGGTGTTTTCACACCTCTACTTTGGAAAAAGTCAGAAAAATGGGCGTGTCCAGCTCTGTTTAGGGGGGAGTGTCGGAGGAAGAAAACAGGCTTGGTGTGGGAGTGTCTATTTGGGCGCGCTGAATTTCAGAGTCAAAACACACAACCACAGCGGACAATGTGACTGTGTTTACATGGACATCTGTAGTCGAATTATTTGCCAAATTATTAAATGGTGGACTTTAACTGCAGTTTGGCTCTTTCATTCAGGGAATTCATTCACGTCCCTCCCGACAAACGTGATATTTGATTCGAGGAGCTGCTCTAAGCGTGTATTTTTCATGCAATGTTTGATACCGCACGGCGAATGAGAGAAAAAAAAACTCAGCATTTCCCGGAAACTTAGATGCACACGGCAGGTAGCGTCAGAAAGCCGCATGTGTTATTCCGGTCACAAAATCCAACACAAGGTTATAGTTTGGTTGTAACTGTTAGTGCTAACTTGTTTACAATCGGTGCAATAGTTTGTTTGATACAAATAAAATACGAACTGAATAAACAAAGAGCACTGGTCGCTCACTTTCCAAATCTGTAGAGACAGGACAATCCACAGCAACTAGAGCCGCGTCTTTATTAAGAGGAGACTACAAGCGAATCCGGATCTCAGCGTTTGCAGATGAGAACAGCTCTCAGGTAAACAATGATCCTCCTTAGACACGTAAGTTATTGTTGTCGAGCGTCGCGTACACTGTTAATCCACACGTGAGTCTGAGCTCTCACAGAGAGAAAATAAATACAAAACTTAACTGCAGCAAACTATAAAAGCAACACTTCACGCTTGTTTTGCCAATACAACATGGCGTCTCTGCCGTCTACACTCTGACAGTAATGAATATTAATGAAGTTGCACAATAGAGCGCACTGATTGGTTTGAACCAAGCCTTACTCATGCATTAATGCAACACACTGTAAGATGTAATAAGACACACTCTGGCACAGACATCCAGTCTGCGCGCTGGAATACACGCTATTATCTCATGGCCGTGACGCAGCTTCAAAAATTCGTTTCAAACCGGAAGTACGAATTTGCTTGAAATAACGCAAAAACAACCAATTTACACTTTTTAGTGAAATATAGGCGTCCTAATGGTGTTTTTAGCAGTGTGGGACACATATACGACTGTCAACAGTTACTTATCAGACCTGCTACACGTATACAATCCTGGTAGGTCACTGAGGTCTTCTGATGAATTTATTCTATCTGTACCAAAGTCCTGGTGTAAGCGAAGTGGGGATCGGGCTTTTGCTGTTGTCGCCCCAAAACTTTAGAACGGGCTTCCGCCCCACATCAGAGATGCTCCAACTCTACCTGTTTTTAAAAAGCGTTTGAAACACCATCTTTGTTTTTTAGTATTTGAGCCTTTTTAATGTTGAGGGATTTGCCTTATGTTTTAATTGTTATTTATGTGATGTAGATTTCATGTTTAGTATTGATTATGTTCAGCACTTTGGGCAACGTTGTGTTGTAAAAAATGTGCTATATAAATAAACTAAACTAAATAAATAAATAAACTAAACTAAACTAAACTAAACTAAACTAAACAGCTAAAAAAATGTGTTTGGTGTTTCGTGACCCTTTAACAGTATAAAATACATTATAACCATTAAGTGTCCCTGTAAACTATGTATACAAGTCTGTGTGTGTATACAGGTTTATGTGATTTACAGGGACACAGAGTTGTATAAAGACATGAGTATGATGACTTGGTAGTACTCCATTAAGGTGGTTTACAGAGACACATATTAACAGTATAAACCACAGTACACCCATGGAGTGTCCCTGTTAATTATGTATACAAGTGTGTGTGTGTATGTGTGGGTTTATGTGGTTTACAGGGACACAAAGTTGTATGAAACATAAGTACAATGACCTAGTATTACTCTAGTAAGGTGGATTACAGGGACACATTTACAGTACAAAATACATTACATGTATAGAGCATCCATGTAAACTATGCATCCAAGTGTATGTGTGTGTGTGTGTGTGTGTTCACAGTTGTATAAAGGCATGGGTATGATGACTTAGTCGTACTCTATTAGGGTGGTTTACAGGGACACATATTTACAGTATAAAAAACTAAACCTATACAGTGTCCCTGTAAACTATGCGTACAAGTGTGTGTACAGGTTTATGTGGTTTACAGGGACAAAAAGTTGTATAAAGACATGGGTATGATGACTTAGTAGTACTCTATTAAGGAGGTTTTACAGGGACACATAATTACAGTATAAAAAAACTAAACCTATACAGTGTCCCTGTAAACTACTGTATGTATACAATTGTGTGTATCTTCGGGTTTATGTAGTTTAGAGGAACACAAAGCTGTATAAAGACACTGGTATGATGACCTTGTAGTACTCTATTAGGTGGTTTACAGGGACACATTTACAGTATAAAACACTAAGCCTTATGGAGTGTCCCTGTAAACTGTGTGCAAGTGTGTTTGCGTGTGTGTATATGGTCAGGTGTATGTGGTTTACAGGAACACAAAGTTGTATAAAGACATGGCTATGATGACTTAGTTGTACTGTATGTTTGTTTTTGTGTGTGTGTGTGTGTGTGTGTGTGTGTGTGTGTGTGTGTGTGTGTGTGTGTGTGTGTTTAACATTAGATTAAGCCTTTCTAGTTAATCTTCAGTGGAGTTTAGCATCACTCTTAAATGAAGACGCTCATTCCACAACCTGTCGTTTTGTCAGATTGGCTCCAACATTTGCTGATTTTAGACTAACAAGAACATTTTGAGTTTACAGGATGTTTGAACAATACAATGATCTCATACATGTGAAAATATCAAAGGTATTTTGATTTCTCAGTTCATGACCCCTTTAAACAGGAATACTGGTTGTGGTGTGTTAATCTGAGCTCACCCGTGCACTATGAGAGCTGAAGACTGCAGTGTTGAACATCTCTGCAGGCTGTGAAATATTATGACCGTGTCCACAAGTTCCCTGGGTGAGTTTTAGATGTTGTCCTCTGTATAGACGGTGAGTGTTTCCCTCCTGCGTCGGCTCCAAGACATACACTTCATCTTCAAGTGAAATTAGGCCCCTGTAGCACAAGATGAAGTTTGAATGTGTGCATGCATTTTAAGCAGTGGTGGAAAGATCTGACTCAAGTACCAATATTTGCCCAAAAATATAGTGCAAGTAGAGTAAAAGTAACTGTTGCAAACATTACACAAAGTATGAGTGGGAAGTAGCCCTTTTAAAAGTACTCAAGAGTAGCGAGTATTACACTCTGAATGGTTGATGTGTATACATGCAGTTTGTGCATATGTGTGTAAACGTAACATTCTGTAGTGCTTTCATTCATTCATTCATTCATTTTCTTGTCGGATCAGTCCTTTTATAAATCTGGGGTCGCCACTGCGGAATAAACCGCCAACTTATCCAGCATGTTTTTATGCAGCAGATGCCCTTCCAGCTGCAACCCATCTCTGGGAAACATCCACACACTCATTCATACACACACTCATACACTACGGATAATTTAGCCTACCCAATTCACCTGTACCACATGTGTTTGGACTTTGGGGGACACCGGAGCGACCGGAGGAAACCCATGCGAACGCAGGGAGAACATGCAGACTTCACACAGAAATGCCAACTGAGCCGAGCTGAACTTCAAATCAGCGACCGAGCGACCTTCTTGCTGTGAGGCAACAGCACTACCTACTGCGCCACTGCGTTGCCCTGTAGTGTTTTTGGTGATTGTTTAATGGTAATGAGATGCTGTATGCACAGTTTACTTGTATTTAACATAAGATAAATTTTGATATGGAAAACAATGTCTGATTTTAATACAATTTAAATGCATAAATTAATTTTGATAGATGTTATGGTTTTACAGAATACACATTTGCATCTGCATCGTGTTCTTAAAGTCAGAAAACATGCAAGAAAAAAAACAAGCGTTTTCTGTATTTAAAGATATTTTAAGACAAATAGAATGTGGAATGATTTTAACTTTAAATACATTTTCTCCAATTATATATACTCTCTGTCAGATTTGTGAACCATTCATCTAGTTATAATAAAATAATAATAATCATCATAATCATGACAATAATAATCATAATAAATATAGCTGCAAGCAGCAATTAAGGGGCCAAGCACTTTTGGCCAAAAGGTGGCGCTGCTCCAGAAGTTTTTGAGTACTTTCAGGGCATGGGGTTGAAGATGCATGCCATGTTTTGTAATGATATGTGAATATGTTGGTAAAATATAGCATTTTTCCCAAAACTCGAAATGGGCGACGCCCAAAATGGCTGACCTGTGAAAATCAGACATCATTCGACTCGACATGCTCTGCCAGATGTAATGAGACCAGTTTTATGAGTTTTGGACGAAAGGTTGAGACGTTATAAGCCAAAAAAGCAATTTTTTTATCTCCTGACCACTAGGGGGCAGTGCGCCGAAACTCCGCACATAACCTCAGACCCTAGTTGTCATAACACACACCAAGTTTGGTGAGAATCGTTGAATTTGTAACAGAGACATCGCCTCAAGTCCATTTTCGCAAGTTCTTCATTAAATTTGATTACAAGTTAAACGAAAACGGTTTAATACACACTTGAATTTTGGTTGGCATGGTCTGCAGATCGTGTGATTCAATTTTGGTGAAAATCGGAGAAAGGGCCTAGGACGAGTTCGATCAAACAGGTTTTTCGAATAATTTAAAATAGCGCGAAAAAATTCATGACGGAAAATGACGTCATAGTGTGCGTTTGAATCGGACTGAGCCAAGTAGCCTATTCGGTTCAAAAGTTATCATGATAAACGTACGTGAAAGTTTGGACAAGTGGTGGCGCTAGAGAGGTTGATTTTGAGACTTCTTATTTGGTCTGATTAATGTTAAGACTGTCCTCTATCATTGTGCCATATTATACAACTTCTCCGCATATGCCTATATGGGCTGCCATTCAAATCCGGCGGAAGAAACGGAAGAAGAAGAAGAATAATAATAATAGGAACGCTAACGGATCCAATAGGTGCCTACGCACCTACGGTGCTTGGCCCCTAATAATAATTTCTTACATTTATATAGCACTTTTCAGGACACTCAAAACGTTTTACACATTTTTGGAGGGGATCTCCTCATCCACCACCAGTGTGCAGCATCCACCTGGATGCCGCAACGGCATCTTGCACCACACTGCACACACCATACCAGCTGTTTGCTGGAGAGGAAACAGAGTGATGAAGCCAAGATAATATGGGGATGGTTTGTAGGCAATGATGGACGGAGGCCAGTAGGCAGATTTGGCCAGGATCCTGGGGTTAAACCCTAATTCTTTTTCGAAGGGCATACTGGGATTTTTAATGACCACAGAGAGTCAAGACCCCAGTTTAATGTCTCATTCAAAAAACAGTGCTCACTGAGCAGTATAGAGACCCCTTCACTGTACTGGGGCGTTAGGACCCACACAGATCACAGGTTGAGCACCCACTGGTCTTAGAAACACCACTTCTGGCAGCAACCTAGCTTCCCCATGTGGTTTCCCATCCAGGTACTGACCAGACTCTGCTTAGCCAAAGACTCTAGGATACACAAGACATGTCACTCGTTTACTTTTAAATGGGGAAAAGTGTAACTGTCAATATGGAGAATAAAGCTCTGCCTTCGAGTACAGGAGCCAATCATTGATCGCTATATGGTGAATAAAGCCCACCTTCTGGTACTGGGGCCAATCAGCGATGGCTATAGAATGACAGTTCTCCGGGGGAAGGGCAAGGACCAGGCTTGAGTTTCTGCAGATTTTGCATTACACGAACATTTAGAAATGAAACCAAATAGACAGTAGTTGTTTAATTTTATTGGTTGTTTATAATATGAAATGTAATTGTAAGCTTAGCAAGCAGTTTTGGAGAATTCGATGTTTCCCCATTCAAACAGAATGCCTGAGCATCATAATTATCGAAATCAACTAGGGCCTTGCATTCGCTGATTCAGAGGTTGCATATGAGGGGTGCTGATCGACGCACAGCTTTAATGGAAAGAGAGTGAATTCAGATATTTTTACATTAATTTCAACATGCTTTCAAGATTACAATTATGAGAGAAATATGGGAAAATACCTAATAATAGGATGTAATGGTAAAATAGGGGACAATCTTGGCAAAAACGGGAGGGTTGTCATCTATGAAGTGAAGTGTTTGTCGAACAACAGTTTTGCGAGGGAACACAAAACATATTTGCAAGGGAACGCAAAAGCTTTCAAAAATGTTAACCTATCACTTGTTTTTTTTTCTTTGTAAGACTTTAGGTTTTAGGTTTTAACCACAGCGGTCCGAACTGTAGTTCAGCCGAGCGATTAAAAAGTTATCAGCATGATGGTAAAAAACTGTACATTTCTAGTCAAACCATTCTTCTGCAATCTCATACCAAAAATGGAAATAAGGGCAGCGTTAATAGCTATAAATGTGGGAGAGCCTTGATATTATGTGATTGTATTGTATTGCAATATGGAACAATTAAATGTTGATTCATGAATTCACAAATACTTGAAAATGAGATGAATTAATGACAATAATTCTCTATGGTTACAACTGAATTAATTTCAAAATAACTGTATAAAATGATAAAATATTAAAGGATAAAACATATGACATTAATTGTACCCAGCTTAAATGTAAAATTAAAGTTACCAGAGGTAAAAGGAGAGACACAGGGGGAGGGAGAGACAGACAAAGAGAGCAGGCCCAGAAGGCTGATTTATACTTCTGCGTCAAACCCCGGCGTATGCTACGGCGCTGACGTGCACCTCTCAAAAATTGTAACTACACGTCGCAACGACACGTAGCACAAGCTCTGTGATTGGTCGGCTTGGTAGGGCTGACGAGTCTGGGCGGGACCGAGAGCCACGCAAATGGCGCGAGCTGGACGCGAGCCCAATGGAGCGATTGTTTACAAGTGTGGAGTCCCGTGAAGGAGCTCCTGATGGAAAGTTTTGTTTTGTGTTTACCTCATAGTTAAAGTTGTTGCACGTCCGCCGGTTCCTGCCTCAAAATGAGCGAGTTTGAGTCACTTGTACATCCAGGAAGTGTTCAGGAAAAGCAAAACAGCAGAGAAGAAACTCGACAAAGAGACACATTTACACCTCACTGCCAACTAGCGTTTTGGAAGTGTTAATGCAGACCAACAGAGACAGCGCGCAGAAGTATAAATGCACAGCCACGCGCGTTGCATGCGCCGTGGGTCACGCCGGTCAATTGACGCAGAAGTATAAACCAGGCTTGCTGATTGAAGTATAGTCAGAGAAGATAGACTCCAGAGGGGGAGAGGAGCAGAGCAGGAAAAGGCAGGCCAGGAAAAGAGACAGAGCAGAGTTTTACACATGTTTTGTATCTTTCTTGACCATGTGACTAAAGCCCAAATACTGAGACTAGGGTTGTAACGGTATGAATTTTTCACGGTATGATAATCGTCTAAAACAATACCACGGTTTGACGGTTTCGCAGTATACGGTATGTTACAAATGTTACAAAATAATAGAACAGTGAAGCAAATTTGACTTTTTCCAAATAATATATTTTTAGTTACTATAAACAACACCATTTACAATGAACAAATAAAAATAAGAAAATAATAAATAATGTGTCAAAGTCCAAATAAAGTCCAAATAAACATGGTGCAAATCCTCAGTAAAAAATAGATATAAATATTTACTATACTATAAATAGTTACATAACGAAACTAGATTCAATATGGACCATCCTTAGGTTTTATGTGCCAGCATGGATATGGTTGTCTGTGGATATGGATTTGGATGTGGTTGACTGCAGTGCAGACAAACAGCTGCATCTTCATTTGCGTCTTTTAAAAACAGCAAGAGCAGCAGTTCGTCTTTGCTGTGTAACTGTTTTGTCATGTTTCTGTGCTGCTGTGCATGCAAAAGTACTTAGTATGAGAATTATTTCATGCAAAACTTTTTTTTTTTGCGTTTTATTTAGCCGCGCATAAATGTATGCCTATCTCTCATTCCGTGTTGTTCAAAAAGCTTGGTCCACAAACAAAAGTGAAACCTATGCTTATTGGTTGTGATATAG